CCCACCGTGTTAAATCCCTCTTAACATCCATAAACAATTTACCGCATATTATTTTCCACCTGGTTTCCTTTGGTTGTGGGGTGGTTTTGAGTTTTTTTGCAAATTCTAACTTTCTTCAAAACCACCAGAAACCCTCTGGAAACCCTGTGAACATCTCTACATTATCATCATCAGATTGTTCATCATTTCTAAGCCATTCTGCGTTATCAGAGATGACTTTGAAGCAAAACCCGCGAAAATAGTGCAGAAGGAGTTGGCCGTCTTGGAGACGTGCTCAGTAAAAGTGGATTTTCTCAGTGAAGAAAAAGAATTTCGCAAAAAGCACTTTATTAGTTTGATGCACGCTTTCAACACGTACCGGTTTTCGACAATGGGAAAAATCCATTTTCGATCCTAGAAATCTGAAAGTTGCTTTTCTCAAAACTCGAAAACGAAATCTAGAAAACCTAGAGTCACTTTTTTGAAAACGTAGATTTTTAAAGTTTTTGACATCCAAGTATTTTGAGAATATCTCAGCGAGGAAACGGTTTTGGAAGATTGAGACGTGATATTCGTGATCCTTATTCAATTCTCCATCGAATGATGTATAAACGAGCAAAATCTAAATTCCGCTCGAACTCTGCTTTCCGTGCATCTTATGAAAAATGCTGATTTACACTTATGTTGTAGAATTTGGTTCATGGCAACATACACATGAATATTTAACACAATATGCTAATAAACTTAATCTAAATCCTCATATATGCCTTCGAACAAAGGTCATATCAGTATGTAAGCAAGATGATGATTTAAAAAATGGATCCAAACAATGGATGGTAACCGTACGACAAGATAAAGGCAATGTAACAACATTATCATCTGATTTAATTGTCGTTGCTGCCGGACTATTTTTTCATCTGGAATTACCCACATTCAATGGTCAAGAAAAATTTTCTGGTTCAATTATTCATGCATGTTCAATTAAAACACATGAACAATTAAAAAATAAGATTTGTATAGTTATTGGTGGTACAAAATCGGCTGCCGATATGGCTGTTTTAGCTGCTGAATATGGGCTTAAATGTTATATGATTTTTCGTCGAATAAATTGGTTTTTTCCACGTTATTTTCCAAACAGTAAACTACCAGCTAAATATTTATTTACAAAATTTTTCTCGTCAATATTCAAACCCTATCCACAAGCGCCGAATAATTTTATTTATCATTTTTTACATACTAAATTTCCCACACTATTTGAAATCATTCATAATTATATTAAATAGAATATATTACAAGATGACTTATATAAAGATAAATGTTTCATTCCGATGGTTCATTGATAAACGTGGAGAATCCATCGTTCATACCAAACAAATTCTGTAGCTTAAAAAAAGCTGGGAAAATTATAGGTAAACTTAGATGGATTGATGAAATTGTTGGAGAAAAAACAGTTCGTTTAAATACGGGTGAAAAAATTGAAACTGATATAATCAGATGTGCAACAGATTTCATCCGTGACTTTTCATTTTTCTCAAAAAAATAACAAGAAGTTATGAGATTATCAAAAATGCAATTATATCGTCGTATTATTCCAGTTGATGTACCACAAATTGCTTTTATCGGATATTTATCATGAATGGCACATTGGATGTATAGTAAAATAGCTGCACATTGGATTTCAGATTATTTTCTTAAAAAGATACAATTGCCATCTGTAGAGGAAATGCAACAAGAAATATTAGCTGTTGAAAAATATAAAGATGATCCATTTCATCGAGCAGGTTGGTTCGAACCAATTAAAGTTTATTTAAGTGATATGAATTTAAGATTAGTTCCAACCAATAACTGGTTAACTGAATATTTTGGTGTATAATACATTCAACGGTGGTTGAAATATGGACGGGGCCCAAAGTAAAGCAAGTTGATAAGACTAAAAGAAGGAGAACGCTTTCTTTGATAATTCAATAACTTTATGCTGAGATAAGATTATTTTGTTTTCTTACAAGATTTACATTAACAAAGTATAAATAGCGGTTTCAATAATATCGGCACCGTTGTACATATGAACTCCACTCAGATGTATGTCGTTGAACTTGATATACTTTGTGCTGAGTTTTATTGTAGGTGTGAAATGCGGGGCAAGTCCACAGATACAAGCGCGTAATTGATAGCTGAAGTAGGAAGAGAGTTAACTCTATCGCAAAAAACGTAGCTTAATTTCTCACACACCTGTGCCCATCCGAAGAGCATCGAGCAACTGAGACACTCTCGTTCCTTGGTTACCGATATTTATAATGCACAGTGGTGGGTGTTCTCGAAATTTGTACTTGAATACCATTCTTACGGAATTGCATATATACATGACTCTAAAAACTAAAACGAGATTTTCAGATATTGAAGACAGCGATTTTATTCACATAATATACTTAGTTTCGGCAGCACTCGTTTCTATATTCACTAGTGGAAATTTTGTATCAACAATTATATCTCCATCATAACGTTTGGGCTTGTTTTCTTCGATTCTTTCACTGCAGCAACAAATGTATCGCATGGAAAACGGTTCAAATAGTCTGGAAATGGGATATTATCCTCTTTGCTAGAATAGAGCAAGGATAGTTTAACATAAAGATCGTGAATACCTGAGCAAGTAGAGAAGTCGAGTAAACAAATTACATGCAGCTACGGGAATAGTAGTAGTAGCTTAATAGGCTGCTTAAAAACAGATTTGCATCCAGTCGATTCATCCAATATTCATGAGAAAAAGGCACACATCTTAGTTCAAAGTAATGTCGGTATTTCTTTCAACTCGTTGTAGTCTAGGACAATCTTGAGATGAACATTCACTAATGATACTATACTTTTGAACTGATCTTATAAAACGATAGGTATTTTAGTCTAATGAACCAGAAATATCATAGAAATCATTTGAATGATTCGTGGACGTGGCTTCGTTTAATCTATTATGAATTGTTAACCAATATAAACGGGCGCGGTCCCAACTACTGTTTCGACAAGCTGAAATGTTTTTCGTAACATAGAATAAATAGGCAGTATGTTTCTATCGAAAATTTCTTGATATTCATGGCCGCTTGTACTGTACAGATAATACGTGACGAATAATACCGAATTTAATGAACAAGTATTTGAAACAGTATAAATTTGGCCATCCAACACACATCGGTTTATTCCATATTTTGGCCAGTGTAAAGCTGGACCAAGTAATGAAGTTGTTTTCACAGGTGATTGTAACGGTGTTTTACTTGGTAATTTAAATTTGATTGATATTTCAAACGCGTAGTAATATGCATTGTTGTTGCTGAATGAGGAGCACGTACCTGGTTTTTTGCTTGATGATTTTCTTTAGAAGATGAACTAAATGATGATGCCATTCGTCTAGTAAAATTTGACTTTGAGATATTCGGCAGTCTATCATCCGTGACATAATCGTGTATATACTTCTAATAGCAGTCCGAACCCGTGAAGTTCTCCGGTTAGTATTATCAATTGTGTTTACTGAAACAGTTGATAATATGCGTTGATCTATTGATCGATCGACTAGCTGTAAATCATCCGCTAGATCTTCATGTGGATTTGATGGTACAATTGTAGAATTTGTTCCAACAGATGAAACAATTATAGAATTTTATAAACCGAATTTATCTGATTGTACATTTGGCACAGTTACATCATGTCGTGATGTACTCGCTGTACATTCGACTTAAATATTTGTCTTGATCAAATTTTGAAGAACAATAAATTATCTTCGTGTATGTATCAAAATGTATCAGATGTAACGAGTTTTTGAAATATTATGTACGACTGACATTGAGATGTATCCTTGTAAGATACACCATTGGATAGAGCTCGGCGAGTTCTATTTGGTACATGTAAAATTTACTTTGGCAAAGTTCTCAGTGCGAATGTTTTGTTAAAATATAAAATTTCATGTATTTCGTCCGTTGGAAAAATCCGTACTTTGTTTTTTAAAACTTTATTGGATAATAAGCGTGAAAGGTGAGGATGTCCGTGGATGGAAAATTTGAAATTGTGTCTGGCACAGCAAGGTTCAAAGTTGGCACAGTTGTCAGACTGAATGTTTTCGTAAAATAGTCGAATCTACTGCTAACTTCACCTACATTTAAGTATTCTACTTTCTTCTCTGCGATTTATATAGATTCCATTAATGATGTTAACTTTACCTCACTATTCATCTTTTTACTGTTATAGATCGTACATGACATATATTTAATTAATCCAATAAAGGATTGATCAAAATATTTCAAAGGTGGAAGAATCAAAGCTAGTGTAATAAAAAACAATTTGAAATTATTTAGTCTTTTTTTTTAGTGAAATTATTTAGTGGATTTTTTAACAAGTCCAGACATCATATGCTTAACTGTCTACACGTGAGGAATTACAATTATTGAAACTCTATTTTATCAAACGTACAGTCGAATGATTTAGTTATCGAATAATAGAATTAACCTCGATACATTCCAAACAAATAGTAGACTGAGAAAAATAAAGTTCACTTGACTACATGGATGATACTCAATAATTATAAGTCCTCAAGTGTAGACAGTTAAGCATATGATGTCTGGACTTGTTAAAAAATCCATACCTGTCTGCAATCAAGATGTACAAAACAACATTTGGGCTTTAATCATCAGAAACATAGTATTGATTATGTTTTGTGACATTCTGAAAGATAAAAGTTTGAGAAAAAAACAATATGTGTTTTAATCTTATGAAAACTTTAGTACAATTGCGGCTGCAACACCCATAGCTTGGCTTACCATGATTAAGAGTTTATTATAAATACAATTTCTTATACATGAATTTTCGACCTATTTGTACGCTCATTGTCAAGCTCAAAAAATCCATTGAAGTAAAAACAAAACTAAGAAGAATATATATATAGTGTGATGTAGTTGTCTTTTCTCTATTTCTCCTTTATAACGTATTTCTCTATTTCATTATTGTTATTTTCTTCTGTCGTCCGTTTGATGGGGGTCATCGAGTAAGAACGGGCTTTGGTGAAACACTGGGTTTTTCGTTCCTTTCTGACGGAATATCGGCCTGGCACAATGGTTTGAAGATTTTGTGCTGTATGTGTCCTTTTGAGTGCATGGTGTTACAATATGACAACAACAACTTTTATGGCTTTGTCATACAAGAATATAATACCAACAATCATAATTTGGAGTTTTGAAAATTAATTCGTATTAGCACCACGTACATGCATGATGAGTTTATTGGGATTTGATTCAAAGTGTAGTGAAATATTGCAATATATTTAGCGTTATTAAAAGCAGATGATCAGTTGACATGCAAGTGGAAATCAATGATACACAAAAAGATAAAATTCAGATTATTCACCCTCAGATACTATTTTCGATGGGGATCATCGAGTAAAACCTGACAGTTTTGGTGCGAAACACTGGGTTTTTGGCCCTTTCTACCAGTATATCCTGTTGAAATTCACTCTCAGACCTGTGTTGAATTTCTACTTGATTGTGCTAGATGCAGAATTAAATTCTCTATCGAACGGTACTATTTTCGAAAAAATCCTTTTTAGTAGCTTAGAAGAAAATTATTTTTACCAAGTTTTGACATGAGTAACTGGCATTAAGTCATGTGCACTTAATTTCTAAATGCAAAATTAATAAGCTTCATTTGTGAAAAGTAGGAGAAAAATACCTTTTTTCATACATAATACCCATTTTCCGACCATTTTTACAAAATTTCAGACTGCTGCCACATCTTCGTAGAGAAAAGTACTTTACACATTTTTTGTGTATTCTAACAGCCCTCAGTTCAAGAGTTATGAGAAAATGATGCTTTGTCCAAAAGAGACTTATGTCAATATCATACCTTCTTTCGTCATATCATCGGAAAAAAAATAAAGTTGGTTTAGAGTTGCTGAAAAGTGGCTTTTCGTATTCAGCACACTCGATAACCCAGAAGATTTTCTATTTTTGGCCCGAGGTGCTTCCGAAAGTTTAAGAACAGTTTTCAAATTTATATTATTTTTCCATGAAAAACTTTTTGCGCCATTTTGTTTCAAAATTTTTCTTAAATTTTCGAAAGTACCCGGGCCAAAAATAGAAAATCTTCTGGGTTATCGAGTGTGATGAATACGAAAAATCACTTTTCAGCAACTCTAAACTAACTTTATTTTTTTTGTTTCAATGATCTGTCAAAAACTGAATTGTTAATTAGAATTTTCTTTTCTACTTTCTCATTTCTGTTACTCCCATCGTGAAAACGGAAAAAGCGAATATTATTGGTGAAATAGATCATTATAATCGAATGAACGTTTCTGATAGCAAAAAGTTCCTTTTAATTTGTTAAACATTTTTTCACCTTAAAATTCAATGCTTGTCAACTTGTTACAATCCAATCAAACGGATTAAACTTGGTTAATTCATGAAAATAATTATAATAACAAATTTTAATAAATTTTTACAAATGAACCTTATTAATTTTGCATTTAGAAATTAAGTGCACATGACTTAATGCCAATTACTCATATCAAAATTTGATGAAAAATCTT